AAGTATTTAAACATGTAGACAAGAAGTGCTACACATTGGAAAGGTGTAAGATGTTAGTTTGTAGGAGAGATTTGCATTTGATATAAAGAATTTGAGGTTTGCAAGAATTATAAAAGAGTCTTCTTTTGAAAATAAAGCTATTTTCTGTATCTGGAAGATATTGGTCATCATTAGACATGACACAAGGTATATTGTTAACTTTACAGATAGTGCAATAATGTGGGTGTTGAGAGTAAGGAATGATTTCTGGATTGGGGTTTGGTTGGGAAGAAAAGTTAGGAAAAAAAATTCTGGGAGTAATTTTAGAAGCAGGTGATGAAGGAAGTTCATCAGTAATTTTGTTAAATCTTTGTTTAGAGATGATTGGAGACATATCCATAGGTAAGGTTCGAGCTGGTTGTTGTTGAGATGGGGAGATTTTATAAAATTTTGAGGTAAAGTTTGTATAAAACTTTTTACAAATACATGTTTTAAGTGCAGGTTGAGTAGGTAAGTGAAAATAGTAGTATTTTTTGTTGTTTTTATCTTTACAAAGTTTTGGATCAATGTTAATAGGAAGAATATGAAGAGTTTCAGGTTTGTTTTTCACCATAGCAAGACTATGGCAGTTGGAATACCTAAAGTACTAGTAGTTAAAATCAAAAGAATTAGGCTTGTTAGAAATAAGAGTAGGCATATTGAGATATATTTATAATATAAACTAAAAAAAAAAAGTATTTTTTGAATTTAGCAAATTAAAGAAAAAATTTGTTTAGAAAATATGTTTGATAATAATAAATCAGGTTTAAAAAATAATAAACTATGATTTGGCTAAAAGAGAGCTTTTAAATAGAGTGAAAAAATTTTTGTATAACATTAAGCTAGTAAGGTTAATATAAATAGTACAAGAGGTTATGTGCTACAAGATCATGTGTCAGATAACGTGTTGGGCTGGGTACTGTGTTGCACAAATTAGACAAATTTGTAGTACTAGGGTACTTTACTTTGTGTTAATTAAAAAGAATACAAAGAAGTAAATATTTGTTTTGTATAAATTAGATTATTAATTTGTATAAATTTGATTTGTAATTTGTATATTTAAAGAGAACCACTAGTTTTAGATTATTTAAAACGTAGGTGACACAGTTTGGGGATATGTAGATTGCACAAAAAACGCCTATAGGGTTTTTTACAAAAGAGAAAAAAGAAAAAAAAAGAAATAAAAAATATAGAGGAGTTTGGAATAATTTGGTTATATTTTAGTCAGTTTTAATGCTACAAATATACTTTATAGCTTGTTAGGATAGGAAAAGTGAGCTCTTTAACTTTTTCTAGACTTAAAGAATAAGTTTAGAAGATGGGTTTGATGAAAAGTACAAATTTGTAGTTTTTAGACCAAAAGGTCTTTATTTAAGTAAACTTAAAAGTTAATGATTCGAAACTTTAATATTATATATATTTTTATAAGCAGAATTTGTTTATTTAGGAGCAAAAAGCCAGTTGGCTTAATAAAATTTAAAGTTATTTAATTATTTAGCAATTTTTTTGTTAGAAAAATTTTGTACAAGTAATAGATGGAAAGAGAGAGTCTTATTAATAATTTTTAATTTTATATTAAAAATTGTAAATACCTTTTAAAATTCTAACCAAATTTACCAAGAATACAAATTAAAAAATAATCTAAATAGATTTAAGCTACAGGTAAGTCTCTAAGTATATCTAGCTTAGGCTCTTAGTTATATGTCTAAGTTCTTATTCTTAGTAATAAATTAAAATATATAACCTTTTTCAATTCTATAAAAAGGTTTCATTAAGTTTAATAAAGATAAGAGCATGGTCTTACCTTAAATATTAAAAAAAAATAAATAAAATAATCTAAAATATTTTTATAATATATATAATAATTTTTTTTTATAGTTATAATAAAAAATACAACAATTCTAATATAAACAATTTGACTTTAATTATTTACTGCAATTACTGAATAGTAAATAAGTTTTGTAACAGAATTTTTTATAATTACTTATAATAGAAATCATAATAATTCAATGTAGTATATTAAGTGACAAATAAGTTTTGTAATTGAACTTTTTTATTAACTCAAAAATAGAAATTACAATAATTCCAATAAAACTACTTGGCTATATATTGTGGTATGTTACTATGTGCCATATTTTAATTTAATCATTATGAACTATACTTATACTAATATAAAAGGTACAGTATATAAGTAAATATATAATTGTTATATAAGTAGATATTAATTAGAGTTAATTCTAAATCTACTTAAGCATGATCTTGACTGTATTAATATCAAGAGATTTTAAATAATTTAGTATGAATATTATATCATTATAATAAGACAATGAAAAATTTTTAATATTTACAAATTAGTGAATTCAGAAAAAAAATTTTGTATAATAAAATGTTAATCATAAGCTTAAAAATGCAATATGATTGATAATTTTAGTGATTGTTAAAATAGAAAGCTCTGATTGACTAGTGTTGATAGATGGTAAAAAAGTGGTAACTAATAATTTTAATCTAAAAACTAACTAAAACTCTAAACTAATTTACTAGAATCAAACAACAATTAGCTTAAGACTTCTAAAGCCTTGAGAGGCAGGCTTTAAATAGAGGCATGAAAGACATAGTTGAGTTTCAAGGTTCTTTGAGGTCTTGTTATGTATTGCCAGATTTAGATAAGTATTCTTAGTCTGTTATACTTCAGTTGTTTGGATTGTTTTAATACTAATGTCTTTGTTCTTTTAATTTTAAAGATATTATTAACTTCGGGGTCACATGTGGCATAATGAAGATTACTGCATTAATTAATATTTTAAGATTCTTAATAATATCATGTGTTACATAATCACAACTTCTGGCAGTATCGTAGTTTAATATTCAAACTCAGATCATTAAAGGTAGGATGTAACTATTTCCAAATTCATATGAAATAGATTGTAGATCAACATCATGTAACCAATATCATATGGTATTATATAATTTACATATAAACAACATGTAATTTGACCAATCATAATTAGTAGTCCTTTGTGTGACCAGAAGAAAACATATAGCATTCATGAAAATTTTTAGTTATATGTAAAGTTAATTTTTTTTAAAACAATATGTATTATACAATTTTATTATTATAAACAAACTATTTTAAACTACATATTGTATAAATTTAATACAAATTTTTTAAGGTATTGAAAAGTTTTATTAGAAGCACTTTTTGTTTACTATGTAAAAATTCAATATACCACGTAGATCATATGAAAATTGATCTATGTACACACTACCCTTAAGATTCTTAATGATGATGTCATGGGTAAGAGATATCGGGAATTGGATTTTCAATATCGGATTGACGTCACGAGGTTCTGATGTCACGGGTAATTTGGACGATCGAAGTAATTAATATTCAGTAATGCAAGATTACTGATCTGATTGTTATACTATTTAGTGATAACAATGCGTCACGAGTATTATTAAGCTTTAAATAGAGTCAGGCATTTCAAATAAGGTCTTTTTACTTGTCTCTGGTTTCTTATAAGCGGCAATATTCCTATACTACTATTGGGACAGACATGGGTTTATTCGGAACGTTTTTGGGTCAAAGAGGACAATTTATTAAGGAACCAACTTCTACTATTAGTATTTCAAAGTTAAAACTCAAGAGAGTTATTCTTTATTCAAGGTGAGCGTAAAGCTCTTATATACATATTTTTACAGACCAAAAAAAAATAAAATAGAATTTATTCATCCATCGACTTGATAGAGTCGATGGAATCCATGGACTCCATAGAATCCATGGAGTCCATTTCGTCATGTAGTATTTAAGTATTTAAAGGGTTAATGAATAAGTTATTCCTTTAGCAACTCATCGAAACCTTATAACTGTCTCAACCTATTCCACTGCTACAGGTAGTCACCAATGGCAGTTGCTGCTTCTCACTCTACTGTTACGATAATGCCTCATTATTTTATTTTAAATTGATAGTTCAAATTCCTGTAATGCAGTGTGTAGGCTTTAATTGAATTTATTTCAGGCACCTTTAGCTAACCGGTTTTCTTCCATCCACATGATCAAACATGCATATGCTTTTTAAACGAAGCATTTGAATTTTTATTTTTATTTTGTTAATTTATTTAATTCGATAGATACATAATATAAGTGTTCTTATTTGAATCGATGTAATTGATAATATTTGAAATTGTACACGAGTATTCCGGTTATTTCGAAAATTAAGAATTTTTAATTTAGCTTTTCAAAGGTGCAAGAATGCCAGCGGCGTCCCCACTTACACTTGTAGTTTATATTCAATTTTGTAAAACAAAAATCAACTTTTTTAGTAATTTTTTGTTGTAAATATGGATTGTAGTAATTAATAAACCAGAGCTCAAATGCGAATTAACAAATTTATGGTTTACAACTACGAATGCACTTTTTTTTTTGTGTTAATTTTCTATTTTAAGTTCCAGAAACAGCCTTTCTAAAAACGCTGTAATATTCACTTTTCACGAAGGCTGATTGAATATTAGTAATTTATAAAATTTCATGCGAAAGCCATATAAAAACACAATCAAAAAATAGCATAAAACGTATAATTTTTTATTGACTACTAAAAAAATTTTGCTTATTTGCCGTAAATACATTGCAAAGTAATCTACAGCAAACAAATTGTTAATCATCATAATTGATACCTTCTATTCCAGTGGCTAATAATTAATAGAAAATGCGATTAGTAAAAGATTAGTAAATATTTAAAGAAAATTTTAAGATTCGAAATGAATAAGCTTTTAATCCACGCAAAGTTACAATTTAGATTCACATAATTTAACTAATCAATATTTGTGAATCCTCTGAATTTTTACACGTTATTTATAATGAAAATTACAGGCGACTTTTTTTTTTTTTATAAATAAGGATATCCTTTTTAGAAGTTTTTTTCTAGACAAGTAATAAAAATTTTTATAGAATAAAAAAAATATATTGCCGGGCCACTCTTAAAAGCTTATTTTTCGTGAACATAAATGAAATATTCGCATGAACTTATACTTACGACAGCAGTAATAGTCAAGGCGATAATACCAAAAGTCTTTTTGCTCCCAAGTACGGCAGTAGTAATTTTCAGGGCATGTTTTGTAGCTAAATCCGATATCTCCACAACCGTACTCCCATGCGCAACAGTTGCCCCATTTTTCCCAAGCCTTAGAACTGTGGGCACCAAGTATATAGCAGCCTTCCCAGTCATCGCCTAATAAATTAATAAAAGCGTATGCATATTAAAAAGCTTATGATGATAAATCTGAACCCAAATATAATGAAATTTACCTTGAATAGATCCAATCATAGTTGAAATAAAAACAAGATTGGCAAGAAAGATGATGAATTTTGGAAACATTAAGATAAGTTTTTTGAAACTTAAAAATATGTTAAATTTGATATCCGAAACCCACTGAGAGTTTTTAAATTTGATATCAGAACACACTGAGAATTTATATCTATTCAAATCTATAGTTTTGTCATTAATACAAAATTGATTTTCACGTAAACTAATGGCTGGGAAATTATTAAGTTAATGGCTGTGCAGATGATTGGTAAATGACTGAATATTTTGAAAAAACTAGATCTGTATTGGTTAACGTTAAGATTATCGGTTGGATCCAGATATCTGTAATCTTGGTCACA